ATGAAATACATCTGATGATGTCTATGGTTCTGTTATTGCTTAATAAATTAGTGTAAATGATACAGCCCATGTGCAGGAAGATCTGCTAAGCTCTATTCGATAGCATGTGGGTCTCCCTCGGAGTGGACATTAATATAGTCTTGTTGTATCTGGTTATCTTTTTGCTTTTTTAATGTTCTTTCTCAGCCATTTTCTCTTCCCTCACCTTTTTTAGTTTTATACATGTATTCACCACTCTGCGACCAACAGCCTGGTTAGGCTAGTTAGACCTTTTCAGCTTTGATAGTTTAGCTCAAGGTTAAACTGTACAACACTGACTGTGGAGAACATAATAAGGCCATGATCACATTTACATAGTAAAACAATCTTTTCTAGTTTTAGTATGTAGCAGTACAATTATCTGAGAAACTGAATTTTGGGTCTCATTAGCTTTGTAAAAGCTTTAATGTGGTCATGTCAACATTATGTAAGTACGACAGAGTGTGTTTGAACTGCTTCAGAAAAGCGATCATTGAGTGCCTTGATCAGTATTGGTTCTTTTCTGCTGAACTTATGTGGAAAGGCCAAATATTGATCAGGAATCTCAATGAAAGTCTTTAGAGTAATTTGTATTAAAAGGAGAAAAACACCTACTGTCAGAAAAGTGGATAACTTTAGAATTTATTTTTCAGCTATAAATTCCCAGGAATAAAATCATACAAGTTCTCTAAAGTTACCCTGAAAAATAAGTCCTAATAAGTCCTAATAAAAAGGCAACTCAAATGACAACAGCAGCAGAACAATTAAAATACATATATTTTTAATCATTGGATACACTTGTGTTATTTGCATTCTGAATATATATTTTGCACATCAACAAATATTGTCAGTCATTCTCTGAATATCTTTTATTTAACTAAGAGTAAAATACATTGCACCCATTCAAAAACAAGGACAAAAAACACAAAAGAAAAAAAGAAAAAAAAAACCCCAAAAGGAATCTAAGCATCATAATGATTCAGCTGTTCTGGGAAACCACTGTTAGCTTTTATTTTCCAATTTCATTTTCTCGGATTTAGTAAAGTCTGGTTTGGGACCCAGGTGACATCTCAGTGTTTAGTCAGTGGGATGTGCTTCACTTCATTTTCATTTCCTTTTAACACTTCGATATGTGAACATAGTCAATCAGAAGCACTAAATATCAATAATATATATATATACTTATTGCAAACTATCATGTTTATAACAACAAGCTTCTTCCAGTTTCTACATTTCACTAAAGAAACACTGCTTAACTGTTAACCCAAGTAGTGGCCGGTTTTGGGATACATCAAATGATTTTTCAGGTCAATATGCAGCCTTTGTTGCGTATTGATGCACAACGCCGGCTGCTGTTCTCAAAAACTTGTGACTCTAGAGGGTTTGATTCATCACTGAATGGGTCATGTGACCAATAGCTCAACTTAAACAAGAGAGCTAATAAAGCTAAAAGTTGCAGTTGAATCTTACTCTTTTGTGACTTTGAATTTTGAGGAAACTCCATGGTTTCTTAATTGGCTGGTCCAAAGTGGTCTACTGTCAGATTCCAAAAATGGGGAGAGACTGTTTCATTTTGTAACAGTGTAGTGTTGCCTGTGACCTTTATGCAGGCTAAACCTGGTTCCCACGGCAAGATAATGGATGCTGACTTCTGACAGATCTACTCCTTCCAAGAACCCCTGGTGTTGGATTCTTAAGTTCAATACTGTGAATCATCAATTCAGAGAGGCTGATCCAGGAAAGGCCTGGGAGACGCTGCATCCAACCAGTGATCTCTCCTACTCCATAAAACAATGAAAATGAGCATTAATGTAAAATTAATTGACCTTCTTCTGTGATGTTTGTCTCACATTAAATCACATGTTAGAAATCTTAAAAGCAACAACTGCTAAACCTGCAAGCTCCCAACCTTAGTGACACCTGCCTGATTGCCACGACATATAAAAATAGACAAAGCACTGTATAATATTTAATTATATTATTTGTGTAAACTATTTATAACTACTATTTTCTCTCGCTTTTAAAAAAAAATCACTCTGACTTATGAAAAAGGTTATTTTAAAAGGAACTAGCTTTCTATCAGCTGATATCTTTTAGATCAGAAGTTTAAATCTAAATTTATTGAGCCTTATTTTGATCTTTTATCCTAAGTGTACCGCTTCACTACCTTGGCTGCACAATCTGTTTGATATAGATGCTGGAGCTGCAGCCTGATCAAACTCATCGTCATAGCAACCGCGTTCATGTGCACATCAAGTCATCTACGTAATCATGCTATCTATCTTGTTCCCAGAATAGCCAGAGGCTGTCGGTACCTGAAGCTTGGACAAATCGATCAAAGGGAGCATTTGAAAATATAAAAATTTATAGAACAAGACTTAGTATTCTCGAAAAAGAAAAACAATAATTTTTGTTTCAGGTTTGCCTGAAAGGTTGTTTTTAAAAGCTCACCAGAAACAACTGTTTCAGCAGTTATTTTCTAAAATAACAATCAGACCATAACTAGCTCCTTTCTGCATCATTAGCGCTCATTAAATCTGCCATGATGTTAGAGCAATGCCTATATTTCAAATCAAAATAGGATTTGACTGAAGGAAACACATTAAACCCATCATGGGCTGCAGTATATCAGCTTAAGGACTCACTGTAGTGATGTAATGAGTTTTACAGCTTGATTCTCTCCGCTATTTTTGTAATTTAAACCTCAGCTCATATGGAAACAAAACCACAAAGTAGCAATGCAGACATCCCTTCTTTTTATTGCTTTTCAACAAGCCCATGTGCTAGAAGGAAGCAATGTTTCAAATGAGCTCATTTCTGTATTTTGAGTGAAAGCTGTACCAGGGCTGTACTTGAGCAAGGATTGACATCACTCTTGTATTTAAAAAAGGTAGGGGGGAAACCGGGGGATGGTGATCCAAATTGTCAAGGTGTTCAGGGTGAAGTTTATGCTCACGTTTCTCTACTACTCTCTCTGGTCACTGGTTTTCCGATGCTCTTTTCACCATGCTGGGTCCAGTGAGAGATCATTGTGTGCACATGATGTGTTTGCTAGCATAGGGTGTTTCAATCAAACTACTGGGGGGAAGGAAATTGGAGAAAAAAGCAAGTGAGGAAGAGAGGAAACACTTGAGAGGCTCAGATGAATGGGGGCAAAGTATAAGATCTAAATCTTTACACAGAGAAAAAAACAAGAAAATGTTTAGAATTAGCTGATATTAAATTTGCCAACAATATTATCTTATCAAAATGAAAAAAAAAGACAAACAGCTGAATTATTCCCACCTGCCAACAGCAGATTGTACATAAGTAATATCCAATTAATCCAAATTTTCAAGGTTCTTTGACTGTGATGAAGAACCCTGAATATGTCAGAGGTCCATTAGAGAGACAATAGTTTCATTTCAAAAACACAGTCATCTGGACCACTGCCCAAACTGAGCATGATTCAACATTTTCCACATAACTTAGTGAAGGCATTTCTAGCCTCCTGGTAAATATGTCAACTCAGTTAACATAGAAACCTATGCTTTACGATTTTATCCAACTCTTCCTCCATTTCTTACACATAAACAAACCGTTTTGAACCCAAGTACAGTGTTTAACAGTTGTAACAGTCTATTACTTACGGTACTAAGTTTAGTGGCAAATTCGAAATTATCAAATCACATGACAATAATAATACAATATAGTTACATTGTATTGTCATTTCTGATTATTTTATGATTTTTTTTTTATTTCTTGTTATTATGATTCCTGTTAAGATCAATTAAGTAGAATTAATGACACTAGTGTTTCTACCCATGTTTTACAGTAAGGGGATTTTAAAGCATCCCATCAGAAGAACATGATAGAAACAGCCAAATGCAAATTCACTTTTTGCAAATTTTGCTAAAAAAGTCTTCCCACTCACCAAAGGTGGTTTTTAACTTTTCAAAAAAAGTAAATGCACTAAAGATATGGAAACACATTTTGCCAATAGCTTCTGATAAAGCAAACATTTAGCCCACATAACTGATCATCTGTTTCTGTTGCCAAAGTCCTGAATACCAGCATAAGAATAACATTCCTCTCTTGACGTCTCCAGTTGGCATGTGCCATCACTAATGCTAGCTGGCATAAGAAAGTAAGCACATCTTGCCAGATTGCAACTTATTTATTCAAACCTTGGTCCATTACTGATCTGTGGTCCATGCTTGCTTGCTAACCCCTTTTCCTGTTTATTACAGCCAGGAATAGCGTCACTGTATGATGAAATTAAGTTTGCATCACCTAAATCACTCCAAAACCAGATGGAAAGACGTCTGATTTGCAGGTTCTTTTTTTCCAACACTTTTTGCATATAAATGAGAAATATATGTAAACCAGGCTGATACCACAAATAAGTATTGTCCACAGTACTGAGGACAATACTTATTTATGTAGACTTTGTAGGGTCTAAACATCTAGTGGGAACTCAAAGTGCTGAAGGACTGCAGTACTGTAGAGTAGGTAAACTTTCAAGGGTAAAACAAAGAGTCTATACGTTGCATTTACAGACTTCACTACATGGTGTGCTTAAAGAATTTATGAGGTTTTCTAGTAACACTTTTGAGAGAAAACGTTTCTGATGGTTGTGAGCCAAAGTAAAACTGTCTATCTAGATTTCAGTGTTTTGAATTAAAATGTGCACAATTTATCATTCACTACTGGGGTGCAAAAAAGGCAGATTGCCACACATAACTGTGAAATCCCTAGATAGGATTCCAGCTTTTTATTTTTCCAAGACAACAATCTCCTCACTGCTAAATCACTCCACTATGTGTTACTTTGTGAACTTTTCAAACCGCAAACTTTGCTATAATTCTTATTTTTTTGTCTTTGATTGTCATACTATTAGGCAAAGTCGAACAATGTTCATGCTTCCAGACCTAAGTCAAAAGTTTGCAAAGCTCTGCTGGGTTCTTTGCAGGCCTTGAGCTCACTTTTTTTTTTTGTTACACTTTTTACAAATATCTAAATTTCAAACATGAGAACTGATGTATTGTGTACTAAAACCCTAAAAAACTAAAAAATAAATAAATCAAAAAGATGATGCATGCCTTGTAATAATTTTATTCTACCAATTATTTTTTACTATTGGCTCAATGCCATGCACAGGTAATGCAAAATGTGCAGCTCAGAATCATCCCACCAACCCATTAAAATTCCTATGCTTACTTGCTGGCTGACAAAAGCAACAGTAACAATGTGATGGATGAGCCAAAAAATGTTTGTAAAACCTTTGGGACTCATCTTTTACTGTTCATAAATATCCTGGTAATCCAAAAACAGAACATGTTATGGGATTTATACTTGCTAAATAAGCCCACTCTAGTAATTCGGTGGCTACAGATTGAAATATGTCTTTGAAATATTGCTTTTCTTGTCTGATTGTTCCGTCTTCCACACCATCGCCGCAAATCAAGTACTAAAGCTTTCAGCACCAGGCATGCAACATCTACCCAGCCGACATAACACATTTACCAGTCCGCTCTCAAAAAGCACACAGAGTCCTGGGTTATCTATATCTGTACACGCAAGCAGATGCAAAAGCGTAGTTAACAAAGAAACCAAGGCATATAGGCTCTGACGACATTAATCTTCAGCGTGACATTAAGGTTTACATCAAAGAGGCACAACTTTTTCATTGCATAAAACTGAGAAAAATCAATAGGCTATTTTTAGGATTTTCACACAGTCAATCACCACTAATAACAGATGCACAGAGTAACTGTATCGTGAATTTACATTATTATACATGCCTGCACAGTAGTAAACTGTATAGCGACAAATATACTATTAGTGGTATATTGTTTTTGTAAAATGATTTTAAACCTTAGTGCCTTTCTCTTTAGACACCAAAGGTTTCTATTGGTTAGAGGAATGTTTTAGGTAATGACATGCCCACAAACTCAACATAGTCACTTGAACACACATTTTGGGACAATGCACTAAGAAAAATTGTCTATAATAACTGGGAAACCCCATTACAACGTATATGAGGGAGTTTTTACTGTACAGTTTTTGGGGATTCGCTGTATGAAAAAACTAATATTGTAATTTTCTCCACTTAGATCTAGCAGATCTAACTATACTAGTGGCAATGTTTTTGGAACATCCTACATCATGGGATTGGACTCATGAAAATGATCATGAGAAGAACCTGGAGAGTTTTTTCACATTTTAAACCCAGTGAAATAAAAAAACATCAGATAAAGCAATTATTTCCCATTAGGACAATATTTCCTTTGGAAACCATTACCACATTGCAGAATCTGTCATCATAGTCTAACTCTCTGGCAAACTATGCCACTGTGCTTTTCTACAGGTAAATTATACATACATATATATATATATATATATATATATATATATATATATATATATATATATATATATATATATATATATATATATATATATATATATATATATATAAAATTAAAGTTATGGCATGTGCGGCATTGCATTATATCCTGAGACAAAAGGTACTTCATTTTTATATCAATTTCCCTACATCTGATATCGGCAGCACTGCCAAAACAATATGACATCAATGCTTTCTAGAAAAAATAGTGCAGTCACAAGAGGGAAGGGTTGATAAACACGTGGATAGCTACCATGCCCTGTTTATTTAACTAAGTGTGTTAATTTATCACTGTACTTCCCTTCATTTAGGCTCCCATGTGATTATCCTTTTTACAAAAATGTCACATCTTCTTGTGACTGCACCCACAGCCAATGAGCGTCATACTCCAGGTTCATTTTGCCATTCATTTTACATGTATCCAGGTCAATCTTTCCATTTTTGTATTGTTTAGCTTTTGGGCTCTGGCTCGTTCCCAGTTTGTCAACAAGGCCTTTGCGAGTTGGACTGCCACTCTGTGTTGCAGGTTTTTTCAGAGCACCATTGGCCTTCATTGCTTGTGTTTTGGCATTGTCTTTTGAAACAGAGCTACCATTATCCATCTCTGCAGGCTTAGTCCACACTGGAATCTCTTCCTTAGAGCTGTCTGACTTGACTTGGTAAGACCTGATAGGATCTGCTGATTTTCCAGCCTCACTTACTCCAGACCCTTTAATAGTAGTGCTCACCCCAGGTCCCCCTAGCACTTCATCTCTGTCACTTGTTCCAGACTGAATCCGATTTCCAGACCCATTATTAGCCCTCACTCCCAGAGCAGAACCTGCTCCAGACACTTTAGGGCCTCCAGCTATGTTGCCCCCAGGAGAAGTTTCTGAAACCAGTGGTGTGGTTGAGCAAATGACAGACTCTGAGCTGGAAGGGCAGTACTCGTCCATGTCATCAGCCAAAGTATCCAGGTAGCTGCCAATTGAGATGTTGTCAAGCTTGTCATTAGTGGGGTCCTGCAGACTGCTCCAGGAACCTCTCCAAGACGTGTCAGGGCCCTCGCCCAGACTGTACTGACTGCTGGTCAGGCTGCTGCAATGACTGGTTAGTGTGCTGCGCTCGTCCATCAGCCACTTCACAGCCTCAATGCCCTCGTGGACCGCCAGCAGTTGTTGCAGAATCTTGACATCCACTGAGCGAAGATAAGCCTGTAGGCAAAATAAAGGAGATATCTTGAAAATTTGTAAATATGTATCCAACAAGTGACACTGATTGATTATTGGTTCTAGATGTGTAAAGCAGTGCCCACTGAAAGATGTTCAGTTTTGCCATCTCCAATTATGAATTCAACACACTGTAGTATGGTAAATATATAAATGGAGGCAGAAGGTGTCTTTCATTCATCAATGCACACATTTAGCGACACACAGGAGCTCTTTCAAGCTGGACACCGTTTTTTTTCACAATACCTGTCCCATCAATGAGGAATCAGAATCAGAAATACTTTAATAATCCCAGGGCCAAATTACTTTTGTTACATTACTCCATCTGTAATAGAGCGACTATACAAACAGTTTGATATAACACAATTTCATAAAATATTTATAATATTTAGACCTCTGCCTTAGAGACAATTATTCCACATTAATTGGTTTGTATTACACATGATATATTATAAACTCATATATAAACATTACTCTTACTATATCCTCTACTATACCACTCTTTGTTTACTGAGATTTTTAACTGCATATTAAGAGAAAAAAAATATGTTCTAATTAATTTACTTTACTAAACAATGTTTGATATGATCATCATGTGATACGGTCTTAAATTTATCCAGCTTAAAAAAAGTCAAGGGCTGATCTCCATTAGATGAATGGCAAACCAAAATAATATATTAGAAAAGTGGGAAAGCAGGAAAATGTTTACTGACACCAAATTATTTCTACAAAGGGAATCCACAGGATACGTCTGGAAAGCATATAGAACAGCCAGCTATTGGTTCTGCACACATGTGCTAACACTATTATAGAGGTTATTAAGGTTATAAAGATGACCATAATTGGAAGAGATGTATAACGGACACAAGCAGGTGGAGGCCCCATTACTATAAATAGGAAACAATTTAGAGAAGACACAGTCTCACAGATGAAAAGGAAAATATGACTAAATTTGCTCTGCAAAAGAAGCAGAGAGATTAAAATTGAACAGAGAGGAAAGTTTGACACATTAGTGGTCTTAACCAGCATTTTTAATGTCATGAACATTTCCATACCTTTCCAAAAGTGCTATTCCAAACAGTGACATCTGGATAAAAAAGTAATAATTACACAAAATTAGCAACTATATTCAACTGCAAAATGTTCAGCTGAACACTGAGGGAAAAAAATGTCTCTGTGGTCATGGAAAATTCTTCCTTAGAATCGTTTTGCAGACGTCTGCAGTGAAGTGCACACCAGAGGGTGATATATATGTCACGCAACACTAAGGTTTCACTTAATTATAATCTCTCATCACGACTGTTCCTTTACCACTGAAGGCATTCAGTATCCAGTTTTCCTCAGGTTCTCCCTACTAATTCTTTTTTTTTTTCAACTTTCATTTACAATCCTGCCCCCACAAAATCTGATGTTCGTCCAAGGTTAAATCTGTCTTTTAAACCCAATGACATCTGTTGTAACAATGGCAATGAGAAAACATAGTAGATTTGTGCTTTTTGTACTTTCATCTTGCTTAAATACTATTTTAACAAATTGTCTTGTAATTGTGACTCTCTGGAGTCTTACAAACTCAAAAATAAAAGTGAACAGAAACTTTACTGACAATGGTAAGGTTTGTCATTGTGGCTGTTTCTTAAAAAGTAGATTTAAGGACAGATTTAAAGGCCATCAGGTCAAAAAAAATTCATGTCAACATGTTGCAAAAGACCCAACAAGTCCACTCCAATGTGGGAAAATTGGTTATGTTAAGAAAGTACAACAATGTTTTAAGAGACATCACGTCTCCACCCAACACATAATAGATCCAAATCACTTAAGCTGGAGGTAATAAAACGCATTGAAATGATCAGTCTGTGTACTGTAATACCTCTTCATGGTCATATTCTAACATATACAGACAAATAATGTTTTCTAGGGATTAAAATCCCACTGACTGTTTACAGAGAAGACTGGCATGAATGGGTTCTAGAGATCATCAAAAACAGCTTCCTGCATGCGTGACTCTGAACCTGCTGGCAACCTGGCACAAGCAGTTTCTGTCTGGCAGCGTCCGGGTGCTTAATGAGAGTGGTGATAAAAGTAGCTCAGAGCCTTTCAGCGCTGAGGTGGCATAATGCTAACGGAGGCCATGTGCTTCAGTCAGCAGCGGAACTATTTGCCTACAGTAAAGTATATCATCGACTAGGTTTACGAAGCCACCATGTGTCAGTATACAACTAAACGTTGAACAGGAGTGAATTTTGTTGATTACTTGTTGTGTAAATTACCAAAGAAAAACGGTGAACTTTAAACTAAAGATTAATTTATTTATATAAATTTGTAGAATAGCTCAGGCATCCCCAACCTCGGTCCTCAAGGCCCGCTGTCTTGCAGGTTTTAGAGGTTTCCCTGCTTTAGCACAGCTAATTGCAGTAGACCAAAAGCCTGTTAATCAGCTTTCAATTAAAATCAGCTGTGCTGGAGCAAGGAAACCTCTAAAACCTGCAGGACAGCGGGCCTCAAGGACTGAGTTTGGGGATGCCTGGAATAGCTCATCTAAACATTTACTAAGCATTTGTGTCAATGTTGCTTATCAATTTTTATGTTATAGATGATTTCTTTCAGACCTATTGTTATTGTTTAATATTTTTAAATTGTGTAGCGAATTTAGACTTGCTCACGACAGAAAGGCCACTTTTGGCAGGAAAAGGCGTGTGGGGGGGATTTTCAGACAAGATGGAAGTGGAACATGGAGTTCTAGGGGGGAAAAAAATCAAGCCATCACTAATGATTTTTTCATGTTTAAAGACATCAGTACACAGAACAGCCAAAGACACATTTCATGCAAACAACTCAGGCATGAGGCATCATCTCGTTTATCCATATGAATCTGTTAAGCTCATTATCCTGTAGCACTTGTCTTTTGCACTGTAAAACATTTTTTCTTTATAGAGGATATATTTTACTGGGTATGGGAATGTTTAAAATTTATGTATGAAAATAATATAGAAAAGTGAAACATTGCCGATAGATATAAAAAATGTCCCTCCACATTTATTATTTTTTTTTTAATGGGAAACAGCTATTTAAATAAACAATTATCGTTGTGATAAAAAAAAAAATTAAATACACCTACAGAAATTATTTTTGGAGTTTTAAGGGATTATTATTATTTTTTTCTAAGTGAAATGTAAACAAAAAACGAAATGAATTTAAAACAAGGAATTGCCCGGTAATGTATGACCTGTCCAGTGTCTACCCTGCTTTTCGCTCACAGACTGCTGGAGATAGGCACCAGTCTTACCCCAACCCCGACGGATTAATGGGAGATGATGGATGGATGGATGGATGGATGAATGGATGGATGGATGTTCTTTATTCCAAAGAGCTCAAAATTTCCATTTTCCATGAGTCTATTGTGAAAAGTGGGATTTCTTCTGTCATCATCTGTGGGGCAGCCGCATCAGGACAATTAACATAAAGAAACTCAATAAGCTAATAAAGTTTACTGACTGAGAATTCCAAAACAAGTGCCTTTAACTCAAACAAGATGGAGATGCTACTGTCACGGTAGCTTACCTGGACCTGAACACTGTGAACTGCACACAAAAGTACTTTAAGAGGAAAAGCACATAAAAATCAGTACCTAAGTGTTTCTTAATACAATCAGCAAAATAAAAAACTGAGAAACACATCTTCAGAGATTGGTGTTGTTTGTCTGTAAGCTGTTAGGTACATTTCATAGTTTTTAGAGTAGAGAAAATCCACATGACCTTTTTCGAAATAAATTGGTGTTAAAATTAAATGTCAGCACTCACAATTCTTGTTAGTGCATGGCCTTTACTGGGGCCTTATTTTACCTCATCTATTATGTAAGATCGTTTTTAACCATTTCAAAAGGACTGATGGCTTTACTTAATTAGAATTCTATTAATTATTAACGGATACCAACTGTTGGTTTAGACAAACTCTGTCCTTTCTGAAGCAAAAGAACAAACAACCCAGAAGAAATTATAAAAGACCAGAAATACCAACAGCCGCTTTTTGCCCACAACCACAATCTGATTAGTGGGAAGTTTAATATTATGTTGGGGTTTTTTTTTCAGTAGAAATGATAGCGCAGCCAGTAGGAGCATGAACCGTGACACAGACCCACCCAAATGGAAAAAAAAAACAACTTTCCAATGTCACATAGCTCACAAACTGACTGCTGAATCACTGCCAGCTGGGACACCAGTTATCTCATTCAGTAGCAGCATAAACACACATTCTGTCTTCCGTATCCTCTGGTGTCGCTGTCTGCTTTTTCACCTTCTGAGTCTCTCCGGTCATCTGCAGACAGACGGTGTCCTTGCACACTCCATTCACCCTGAAATAAACCATCTGTCTCCATTCCTCCATGAAATTTCAAATGCCCTTTTCTACGGGGCATTCATGTCTAAATCTCATATAAAGAAATAATATTAAATATGTTAAGAGAAATGAATTGTAGATTTAGCTGATTATTGTATAAATCAACAAAAAACAACAGCTTTTAATTTTGAGCTAAACTGAGCCCTAAATCTAAGACGAACAGCTTTCATAACAATGGAACTAACTGGTTACAGATGAATGTGATTTTTTTTTTCTAAGCAATTAAATACAAAATATGATCATGGTTCCACTAATTGTATTCTAATTTGAATTCCAAGCCATCGGGTTTGGTTTGGAGTGAATAAACTAGACTAAAATTTCATCAGAGATTGGCTGTAGAAGTGTTTGTAAACAGGGCAGTGATAAAATTTGTTTGGTAATAATTTAATTAGGCACAATCCTGCAATGACAGCTAAAAGCAGCAGGGGAGATTTTCCACAGCCCTGTTTGCGTGTTCAGTGCTTACTTTGCACTGACTTTATGTGTCCTAGAGAAGGAGACAAAGATCAATCAGAACAGTTAAAATGAAAAGGACTTGTTTGCAAGCTTAACACATACTTTAATCTTAAATATGTTATTATCTTGGGATATGT